GAAGCAGGTGCATCCCGACACCGGCATCTCTTCCAAGGCCATGGGTATCATGAACTCCTTCGTCAACGACATCTTCGAGCGCATCGCCAGCGAGGCTTCCCGCTTGGCGCACTATAACAAGCGCTCTACCATCACGTCCCGGGAGGTGCAGACAGCCGTGCGCCTACTGTTGCCTGGCGAGCTAGCCAAACACGCCGTGTCCGAAGGTACCAAGGCCGTCACCAAATACACCAGCTCCAAGTGAGGCGCGCCGCAGCGCCCGGGAACCCAAAGGCTCTTTTCAGAGCCACCCACAAGATCGAGAAAGGGTTTCGAACACGTGAATGGTTGTTAACTGCAAATGTATCGCATCTCTGTTCTTGGTTCCTCGGTTACTGGGAAGCCGCCCACATTTACCCTTCCCCCTAGACGTGTGCGCGCATGTGTATGTGAAAAGAATGCGAGAATGTGCACCTGCTTGTTAGACCAGGTATGGGGGCGCGGAGACCTGAATAATGCGGATAGCTGAATAATGTGGGAGGTGATCAACGACCCGGTATCCACCCTCCCCTCCGCCCATGGCTATTAACGCTTCGCTAAGTAGAGTGGGAAGCTTAAGCTCAAATGCGCTTTGGTGTACGGGCAGCGCCATTTCCGAGACTTGGGTGCACGTTTCCAGGTCCTTCCTGTGTGCGAGTGGCGTTTGCCTGTCGGGGAATGAGGAGGGGAGGGAGGTGTGGGGGGGTGTCATCTACCCGGAGGGACCTCGTGCCGGTCCCCCACCCCCGTATTTCTGATGGGTGAGCCCAAAGGTGTACGAAAGGGTGCGGCTTGGTGAAGCCCGGAGCGTTGTCGCGCAGCTCTGGCGGTGGTTTCCTGGCGTTGCATCCCTGCCTAGACCAGCCATCTTTATCCCAAAGCAATGAACATTTACAGGAAGATGTTTGTACGGCTGGATCCTGCAATAGCAGGATGTTTTAAACCGAAAGGGAAATAGAAGCGTGGTGGAACTCAGCCCTCCGTGCGTAGGAGCCGAATGTAATAAGCCGACCCCTGCTGCAGGTAGTTCTAACCCTTGCGGGGGAGGGGGAGCAATTTAAGAGGAAAATAACCCTTTTCTCAATAAATGTGGCTTACTTCTACTTCAGCCCCATTGTTATTTTTTGTGACGCACTAGTGACGCAGGATTTCTCCTTTTTCTTGAATTCATAGCATTTATTTGGAAAGTGTCAGGGAGAGCGCTTTGTCCTGAAGAGTCTTCACTCTGGAGAGGACATTGCCTACCTTTTTTCTTAACTTAGTTTTTCTTTTTTGTAAGAAGGAGATTGCTAATAATCGCTTCCTTGAGCCGTTTTGAGAGTTATATGTATTGAAAGTCGTGTCATTGTCTCAGGCAAGGAATAGACGTTCAGTTAAACGACAACACTCATGTTTTTGTAAATCGTCTCCAAAGGAAGCCAGTTGCATGCCTGGGCGGGCTGGGCTGGCAGGACCGGGGAGGAAACGTTGCCGCTAAGTGTCCTCAGCCACAGCGGCCAGAACCAGCACCCGCCCCCTACTCCCGCCCCCATTCCTTTTTCTACATGGGATCACTCTAAAAGAATTTCTAAAACCCCATACATTTTAAAATTGACACCAAAAATATTTTTATTGTTAGTTCGAATCGTCGTAAGGATGCAGATCCCAACATAGGACGTTTTACAAAACAAAACTGATCTCATCAATCTTTTAAATATATCTATTGAAATAGCAATTCGATACCATAATCAATCCATAAATACAGGATTAAATTCTTTGTTAACACTGAGCTACTTTAGACCATTTCTTTTTCACCCTGAACTCATATTTCCATTCCACTTCTGCCTCAGAATTTCATCCTAATGCAAGATATATATATATATATATATAATATATATATATATTTCAGTGTTTTATCTACCTTCTTTCTGTATAAAAGTGTAAATTGAAATTTAAAAACACTTGTAAGGAACCAAAGTTAGTGTTTAAAAATCATCTGGACAGTACACAATTGTTTAAAACATAAATAAGTTTTGATAGGTAATTTTCAAACAAAAAGTAAACCTTTAGTGAAACCTGTCTCATTTAATGAGATGAACAGTCGTCTCTCCCTCTTTCCCCCTCGTTACCTTTCTGCCCCAGTTAGTTCATGCATCCATGGGCATATGGAGTGTTGTCATGGTTACAGTGATAGCACTGTGCAGCATCATTTCTTTTCCTTTGATCTCTTTAATAGATACGAGCTCTGAGACAGTATTTACAAAAATTAATACATAGAAATGGAAATTTTGTCATAGCAGTTTTACTCAATTTTTTGCCTTCCTAGTTATAATAAAAAATTAAATGATCTATCATACAAAAGTCCACTACCTTAA